CACCACAATTACAAACAAACTTTCCAACACAAGACAACAAGTAAATACAATAAATAGAAATTACCGTGTGCACCTTCTGACCAAATGTTTAGGAGTTATTACCGGTTCTGCAGTGACGAGCTTCCCCACAAGCCGACTCCATGAATCTCCCAGAGTGCATTCACTCCTGCCCAATTCAGTCACATGATCAAAGGTTAACACATGAAAAGGAGGCAGGGCTGTGTATGCTCGCCTCTCTGACTAAACCTGACTTCTTTTACAGGTATGGGAAAGATTAGCCCACCACAGGTGATCTATCAGAATCACGCGGGGTCCCAGGGTCCAGTTTAAACGCTGTAATGACAGTAAGCATTCCAAACAAGCTTCCCGTTGCTAGGTCAGTACTCCTGCGTACAGACTTACTTTGGGTGTGGTTTTCCTATAAAGCAATATTCAACAGTAACACAAATAAACCAAGGTATAGTTGAAACTTATATGCAAAATATTACAATACAAATACAATATAAAATACAGAGGCATGTTATTCTACAACATACTCCTTAACATATCCTTTAGGCAATATTAAGCCCCTGAGCATCAGGCCTTTATAGCCTTATAACTAACTACGTGGTTATCTAACTACTCCACATGTCCATAATTTAGTAAACATTATACCAGATTAAACATCAACGCGGTATGGAAGGTTTAGATGGTTTAGGCATAAATAGGCTAGTATTTCTATATTGCTTAACAGCTTCATTATTACCTCTCCTAGATCGTTAAGCTAACAGAATATGGGCGCAGTTACTAAATAACCATTAACTTGTAGCAAAGCGAATAACTCGTTCGTAACTAAAGGGAGTGATATCAATAATAGCCAACAGGTTATATTATACAGCACTTACATTGTATTTACGCACACTGACGGCGAAGGACAGACTACCCCGCGAGGCGATTGTGCTCCACCCACTCCAGGCACAATGCAACAAGGAAGTTTGTCCGTGCCGCGCTGCACTCACAACTCCGTATTGGTCCAAACCAACATATAATGGAATAGGGGGTAGCCTTTTAAACAACACAGATCAATTAAACAGTCAGCAGAGGGCACTAATATGCATTTATTACAGTATACCTTCTATATTGAATCAAACCAACAAAAAAGTAATTATAAAATAACCATCTTAGCGACAGTTACAAACAGTATTGGACACAATTGTAAGTGTCCGGCCTTGGTTGTAACTTCATTGTTGAAATAAAGACTGAATTTGAATCTACATGAGCGACTCCTGACTCCTGATTGGCGGGGAAGGAAAAACCACACCACTATTTGTAACACAAGCCTTGCTAAATCTGCATCCGTCCATCCATCCTTCCATCCATCTAAATTCTTATCCTGGGCAGGATCACAGGGATACTGAGTCTATTTGCTGCAAAAATCAATATGTGGCACAAGAAGGCAATTTTTTAAAAATGTATGAATTTAGGTGGTGCCTAAAGCAAGAAAAAATCATCATGTAACAGTTATTACAAACCAATTTGTCATTTATCTAGGGAAATTATTTGATCCCTGAGTATGTTCTCAATGGTTCCGAGTCAACCTCTGCTGACTTGGTTTAAATCACTGGACTCCTTAATTTCAAAATATCTATGGAAATTCAAACCACCACGAATAAGTTTAAAAACTTTACAGAAACCCAAAAACTGTGGGGGTTTGGAGCTTCCCAATTTGTACAAGTACTTTCTTGCCAATAGATTGATATATGTCCTAAAATGTACTACGCAAAACAACTTAGACCTTAACTGACTGGATATTGAGCAAACTTTCTGTAATGATATTCGAGTCCAGGACCTGCCAGTTATCAGTCATATACTTAAATGACATTGCTGTTTTAAGAGCATCAACATCAGCACATCGCTGACAGCCTGGTGAGAATTTCTTAAAATAAACCAAACTTCACTGGTCCCATGCAAACTGACACCCATCTGGAACAACCCTGACATCCTGTTAAATAAAATGTTTATGGCATTGAGAAAAACAAATACTTAGAATATCTTCAACTTAAATCAATAATACACAATAGATGGTGCTGTAAGCAAT